CCACATGATCTAAATCTTGCTTGCAGTATCTGTAGTGGTTTAAGGCCTGGTTTTTCAGATGGTACTCCAGAATGTTATATTGAATTAGCATACAAATGCACAGATGCTGATCCTGAGAAAAGACCAACAGCAAATAAAATTATAGAAATTATTACTTTTTGGATAGATGCAGTTGATAAATGTCGATTAAATAGGCCTAATTATTCTGAAAAACAGCTTGATGAATTAAAAGAAAAAAGGGAAGTATTTGAGGAAGCAGATAAAAAACCATTTAATCCTTCAACAATTAGAGCAACTGTTCATCCAAATGCTGTTTATACAAGTAGATTGTTGAATTTTATAAATCTTCCTCAACCTGTAAACTCCAACAATAATAGTAATTATCATCTATTAATTGGTTATTTATTTTTAAAATTCAATATCAATATCAACATTAACATTATTTTAAATTATTTTATAGAATCAAATCAAATTGATTTAGATAGTATTAAAAATGGTAATTATCATCAATCAATTATTTATTTTAAAATTCAATATCAACATTGATAAGATTAACATTATTTTAATTATCATATAATCTCATCAAGTTGATTTGGATATTTTGATAAACACACTTACCAAGAAATTAAATAATGAATTAAATGATGCATTAAATATAAGAATTGATGGTGAATCAGTTGGATTAATTAATTTAATTGAAGTACTTGAAATATTAGAAGCAATAAGTAATTGTATTGATTGTAAAATAAATTTATTAAATAATAATGAAATCAAAATTTTATTTGGTAAATTAAATGAAGTGAGTGAAGATCTTTTAAACAGTTTAGAAATAAATATGTCATTTGGAGGAGTATCTGGATTAGATAATAAGTTATGCTATAGTTGTTACAAAAATAGGAAATCACCTAACAAATATAGAAATAAAGTATTTGCTAGACTTTTTTGCCAACACAATATGGATTCAAAAACCATTAAATGGATTCCATTTAATGAATTTAAAGATGTGAAATATTTAGCTACAGGTGGATT